TTATCCAGCATGGTTGAGTTTGTTTTTTGGGTTTTTTTTTTTTTTTTTTTATTTTGGTTAGATGATTTGCTTGAGAGAGAAAGAGAGGAGAGAGAGAAATAAGATATTCTGACCTTATTAAACTTAATTTTGGAAGGGGAAAATTCATATAACCTTTTGTAATTTTTATGCTGGAAATAATTGAATTCGATAAGACTTGATCAGATGGGTCGTTCTTCCCAAGATTATGTAGTGCCCTGTATAGACACAAAAAAATATAAATCATGTGATTTCTTGTTCAAAATAAGCAGTCTAGGGTTTGAGAATGTTAGAGATTGAGTATGAATTCTCTATGGTCCCCCTGTGGCTAATTGAACAGGGGAGACGAGTGCTCTTTTTCTCTCTTCCCGGCCCCTCCTGTCAACATGGCTTTGATCTTAGGAAAAGATCCAAATATAGAGTTGGAGTCATTCCCCTTTAAAGGATAGTCATCCTGCCTTTGTTAGGTTCTCAGAGGAACTCAATGACAGGCCAAGTCCTTGGTGCTGGTAAGCTCTGCACAAGTGCCTCCCACTGTGACCACCACTTCACCTTCTCCCATTAGATGATTCATAAGCCCCTCCACCCTCCAAGAGATTCTAGCTTCCCGCCTTTTTTTTTTTCATGGCTGGTCCCCTTTGTCTGTGTCTGTATTTGGACAGCTTAGTTTGCTAGGTCCCTTTATATCCATACTCTTGACCCTCTGTTGTGCTAACCCACAAAAAACTCCAGCTGCTTTCATTGTTTCCCTACCTACTTTTCCAACACCGAAGTGTCTGAATTTGCTTGGCTCCATAGCAGGTTGGCTGGTCTCACTTAAAATTCCTTCCTCAAAGCCCCAGGGGAAGTCTGCTAATGTCTACCTTGCCTATTTAATGAATTGGTGCACCTGTACCAGTATTATCCATGCTTTCTTTCCTTATGCTTAATAGTTCCCATCAAGGCAAGGGAGATGGCTGCAGAATTAAAGTGCTTGCTGCTGCGTAAGCAAGACCAGAGTTTGGATCCCCAAAATCCACATAAGTGCCAGGTGGGTGTGATGACCCACCTGTGTAATTCCAGCACTTAGAACACAGAGACAGGTGATCCTAGAACAAGCTGACCAGTCAGAATTTCTGTAACAGTAAACTCTGGGTTCAAATGAGATTTCCCACCCCACTGTGTAAGGAAAAGACTGTTGAAGAGGACTCCTGATGCCCACTTCAGGACATTTAAGATTAATGTATATTTTTGGGCTGGAAGGATGGCTCAACAGTTACTGATCATGCAGAGAACCTGGATTCACAACCATCTATAATTTCAGTTCTGGGGGATCTGAAATCTTCTGGCCTCTGTAGACTTCTGCACACACAAACAAATACACATACACATACACATAAATAAAATGTTCATAAATTAAATTTTTAAAATTTGTATCATCTAATGTAAACGATAATACCTTATCCAGAAAAGTGAACGAGCCAGGTGGTGATGTCGCACACCTTTAATTCCAGTGCTCAGGAGACAGAGGCAGGTGGATCTTTGTGAGTTCGAGGCCAGCCTGGTCTACAAAGCTACACAGAGAAACCCTGGCTTGAAAATACATACATACATACATACATACATACATACATACATACCATACATACATACAAAGTGAACCATGACATTTAGAGAATTGATGGACATTGTCTATAGAATGTGACTTTCAGAGTTGTCCATATCAAGCAGCTTTATTCTTTTCCTCTATTTTTTGTTAAGTGAAAATGGGACCTTTTAACCCACAGAGAATCTTTGAGCTCCTCCAGTTCCCTCTGGGCCTTTTCTAGGTTGCATTGTTTGCCCAGTTGTTTGTTTTACAGAGACTGTAGATTTCTCCAAAGGAAAACTTAGAATGGAGACTCCCTTGGTGTCTTCTTCAGTAAAGTGGTTCCCTGGAAAATTGTAGACATCACCACAGAAGTACCATGTGTGACATGCTCCTTGCTGCAGCCCTTTGCCCACTGCAGGAAGATCTTGTTTACTGTCCCCACTGTTGTATCAGCAGTAGAGGGTATGCAGTGTGACCACTTCCTTGTGAACCTTCCATAGCTATGTTCTCTCCTCAGTCCTAAGGTCTTCTGGCTCCTGTGTTTTCTGTTCCCTTAGCTCCAGCCATGTCTGTAGTTCTCCAACCACAACAGAGTCCTCAAGAGCAAGCATCCTGTCCAGTGCATGTTTGTCACTGGCAGATGTTTGGTATGATGTAGAGCCCTGTAAGTATTTACAACAAACATTACCAGGAATGTTTGGGAAGATAAGGTACGATAGATTCATTTGGTGACATTTTGCCAGCACAGCATTTTAAATATGGTTTCTTTTCAATTTTATGGTAACATAATTTATGGTGTGCACATCTCATCTTTCTCCCCTACAGACAGGAAGCAAAGGCAGGATTGGTTTGTAGGGACAAATCAGCTAATATATGTAGGTTTTGGTCCTTTGATGGAAAGACAGATATCAGTTGACTGATGTTTAGCGTGGGGATTGATTGGTTTTTTTTTTTTTTTCTTCCAGCCTGTATGCTTCCTTTTCTTGTCATGCTCATACATTCTATGATGGTAATATTTGTTTCCTTTCTCCAAACAAGAAAATTACTACTAAGACTCTAGTGGAGTTCCTTTATTGCTTTGACTTTCTGTGTTCCTAAGTCATTTACCCCTCTGTTTTCCTATTAATAACCACCCTGATAGAATAGCCCAAGTTCACTGAACTGTTATAGTAATTAAGTTGGGACCTTAGTGTACCCAGAGCTCTTGGCCTTACCTTAGCTGATAATAAATTTTTTTGTTTATTTTCATTATTTGGACAGTGAATTGTTGTATTTGTATGAGAGAGAAATCCGAAAGTTTCACCTTCCTAAAAAAACGATAGTGAGTGTTGTGGAAAGCAGTGGCCTTGTCCCAACGTTTTTCGTGTGGAGAGCTTCAGCATCTTTTAGACTTAACCTTGGTTCTTTCCAACATGTATTTCCTTGGGAAGGCTGTTTAGCTTCTCAGTGTCTGTTTCCTTCTTTTGAAAACTGAGAGTACACTTTGCAGGTCAGAAAGGACTCAGCCTTGGAAGCTAGCTGAGTCTACCTGTGGGGTCATTGAGAGGGTGACACCAGCAGCAAGATCCACGCATCACCTTGTCAACAGAAATACCTGGAGAAACCTCTGCCAAGAACCCCTGACCCCTAGAAATAACCAGGAATTTAAGATTGGGAAAAACAAAAACTCTGAGGCATGTATTTTATGAGGCAATTTATATACTATAAAATTGACTCGCCGGGCGTTGGTAGCGCACACCTTTAATTCCAGCCCTCGGGAGGCAGAGGCAGGCAGATCTCTGTGAGTGTAAGGCCAACCTGGTCTCCAGAGTGAGTGCCAGGATAGGCTCCAAAGCTACACAGAGAAACCCTGTCTCGAAAAAACAAAAAAATTGACTTTTTTGACACATGCATTTCACTAGTATTTAATAAGTTCACAAAGTTATGCTACTATGACTAATTTTTTAATTATTTATTTTGATGTGTGTGGGCATTTGCAAGAATGTGTACCATTTGCAGCTTGGAGTGTGTTGTCTGGCTTTTTTCTCATGTTATTTTAGCTGTGTGGGTTCTTTGCACTTCTGGGTGAATTTTATGGTCACCTTAAACTTTCTGTAGAAGAAAGCAGCTGGAGCCAGGTGGTAGTGGTGCACACCTTTAATCCCAGCACTCAGGAACAGAGGCAGGTGGATCTTTTTGAGTTTGAGGCCAACCTGGTCTACAGATCAAGTTCCAGGACAGTTAGGTCTGTCACACAGAGGAAAAACAAAGACAAAACATGACTGGCAGTTTGGTAAGGATTACTTGGAGTGTCTTCATCAGTGTTGGGGGTACTGCTGTCTTTTACCACAGAATCTCAATATATAGATAGTCCAGGCTGTAGTAGAACTTGTGATCCTCCTGCCTCAGCCTTCCCGGTGCTGGGATTATAGGCATTTGCCATCTTAATGATGTTCGTTTTCAGATCTATAAGCATAGATCTTTCCATTGGGTTGGAGTTTTAAATCCATTTAGTGGTGGCTTGCAGTTTGCTAAATTTGTCCCTAAATATTTTAGTTTTTGATGCTATTCTAAATGAAATTAGTTTCTCAAGTTTATATTCTAGCAGTTTGCTGTTATTTAATTGGAGGATTTTTATTTAGTGAGATATATGTAACAAAGAAGTAACTTTTTATCACTTTTCAGTATACAGGAGATTTATTCACAAAACTCACAACATTCTGTCACCACTGTTTATTTCCACAACTTTTTTTTTTCTCTGTATTGTTTTGGAGCCTGTCCTGGAACTCACTCTGTACACCAGGCTGGCCTTGACCTCACAGAGATCCGACTACTTCTGCCTCCCGAGTGCTGGGATTAAAGTGCGCACCACCACTGCCCGGCTTCAGCAATCTTTTTAAATGGTAAAATATTTTTAAATGATCAGATAGGCATATAGGAAGTGTTTCACAGAAGATGAAGAAACATTGTAAATTTTCTCTATTTATTGTTAGCTTTGTTTTTCCATTGTAATTGTCATTTATGTATTCTGTTATGTAAAGAAGAAGATAAATGGGCTGGAGAGATGGCTCAGAAGTTAAGAGCACTGACTGCTCTTCCAGACGTCCTGAGTTCAATTCCCAGCAACCACATGGTGGCTCACAACCATCCATTATGAGATCTGGTGCCCTCTTCTGGTGTGCAGATATACATGGAAGCAGAATGTTTTATACATAATAAATAAATAAAATCTTTAAAAAAAAGATGATGATGATAAATGATTCACTGTAATCTGGAACTGTTAGATGTATATTTATTTATATATGCGTGTGTGTGTGTGTGTGTGTGTGTGTGTGTGTGTGTGTGTGTGTGTGTGTGTGTGCACAACAGTGCATGT